TTACTGGCAAATTCAATGAGTCTTTCTTTGGTTTAGAATCATAATTCTTTGAAAAACAATAATCGGCCTTGGGATAAACTTGTTTCGGTCCAGTATCTTCCTCCCTGCCCTTGCCTCAGTTATTTTACTTTTTTCATCAAATAAAAATAGAGTTTTTCCTTGGTTAAATATTCTGTTGTTAGCCTTTGCTTTTAATTAGCTTTCGATGTCATTGGCAGACATTGCTTCTAGGGCAGAGTTATAAGTGTTTGGAACATGAATTTGCAAAACTTTCATTTATGAAGTTCTAGCCTAGTTGATAGGATGCTTAATCCTTGCTGTTCAAGTTCTGTTCCATAACTATAAAAAAAAAAATTAAGTGGTATTTATTTGTAGTCTTTAAGTCAGTTGATGTCAGTGGTTGCTAAAGGAGAATATGTGAGACACTTGATTGGGGTACGGCAATAAAATATTAAAGCTTTTTTTTCTTTTTATTTAACATTAAGAAACTGAAATTCCGAACATTTACTAGATGGAAGGACACTGGTGTCTCACTCGTTTTCAGATATCAGATGGGCACATGTCACCTGGGGAAGAGTGGGCCTGCCACCGCGAGGAGACTGACCGCATTGCTCTCGCTGGGTGTGCTTCCAGTTAAAATGCGTTTGCTTAAGGGAACTGCAGATTTTACTGTACAGTTTTCAACCTACCCATCACAAAATGGGCAGAGAAAATAATGATGGAACATATTTCCAATGGAAATTAAATATGTTTTCATCAGCCGCATCTTAAATTTGTTTATTTAGACTTTGAGTTATCCTTTTAAAATATATTTTTGTGCATGTTTTACAATGTACATGATATACTGGCATATCGGTACATGTATAATGTATAAATACATATGTAGTGGGAATACATTGCAAAGTTTTTTTAATGAATGTGTGATCAAAAAAGTCTGAAGCATAAATGCTTTTCAAATAATTTAAAGATACGAAGTTCACATTTTTTTGTATTATTATTTTAATTATACAATTTAAATGTCTACACATTATTTTGTTATAATTCCCTGATGTTAAGTCATGCTTAGGTGACTTTTCCAGTTGAAATGAAAGAACATGAAATAGAATTCAATTAATCAAATTATAGACTCAATCATTATAGGTGAAGTGATGTTCAATAATCAAGATCTCTGGAATTTAATAATAAAAGAATTGTGCTAATGCAACTCATTTGTGGGGAAGCCAGGTCTAAATCAAAGAGAGGTAGAAGATATAAAATATTCTTTAAGAAGTGCTTCTTTAATTTTGAGTATAGATAAAAAGAAACCAAGTTAATTGTGTTTTAGCAAATCATTTAAGTGCTTTCACTTAACAGCTGAGAATTATTTATCATTACTCTGTTCATTGTTTGAATTAAAATTAATACCAAAGTGGTGCTTGAGAATGGTCTTTTTTCCTTTTACATTTAAATAGACTAGACATTTGCTTTGTTTATACCGTTAATTTGTTTTCACACAGCCTGCAAAGGTAACCATCAACTCAGAATTAATTAGCGGAATCAAAATTAATGAGGTTTTACTGTATTGGGCCATTTCCACTGTAGGCCAGTTTTCTTCACATGAGTTGGACTAGCATTTTCTTGAAAGAAGAAAAATTTGATCTATTTTAATTCATATTTAAAAAGGAGAGAACCATCTTGTGAGTTAAGAACCTCTAATAATTATGCTTTCTTGGGCTTAGTAATATTGATTTTTCATTTTGTTTTGTTTTCAGTCTTGATTATTTTGGCTATTTCCAGACCGTTGTTTATAACAGTAAAGCTAGAGTTAACTCTTCAGATGCTTATTTTCATTTACAGGGACATTATATCATTTTTATTTTGGACACTTTTTTTTGTGGATGGAGCATGTCATTTGCCAATTTTCCTCCTTATTGAACTATATGAAGGAGGAACAGAACTATTTTTTAAAAACATATTTTTATAAACGTATGTGTTAGAATATGTTATGTGGAAACAAAAAGCTAGAATTTCTGGAATTGTAGTTCATTGTTCTCTTCAGGAAATTATGTCCTATAATCTATTTTTTAAAGCAGATCCTATGATTTTAATATTTGGTTTGTATGTCCTTTATTTTTACTAATAAAGAGTGATAACATTATGTAGAGCTTTTAATCTTTTTATGAGACTAGTTTGTATTTTCTTGAATTTTTGAAATTATCCACCTGCATCTAAATGGGGAGAGTGAAATTCTGACAGTGAACTTCGCATGAAGAGTTGATGCTGAAGGTCAAGTTTCTTACAGGAATGGGGATGCCATTTTTGTTTGTTCACTTAATGTCTGCAGTCCTTTCTCTGCTGGGTTGTAAACTACAGTAGTTTGGCAGCGAGAGAGAATATGTAGTTCAGTGGTTGTCAGTAGTTTTCTGTCGACTCAGATGTTGAGATCTACCAATCAACCATAATTGGAGGAACACCGAACAGAGTAAAGAATACTGGTAAAAATTAACTTTTTTTTTAAGAAAAAACAAACCTCACTGACTCATGCCTCATTTTCTCTATTCTTTGAAAAAGAATGACAAGAAAGTATGTGAACATTAATGAAATGACTGTGGACTTGGGGACTAACTAGTAGGCTTGTTAGGTATATGGAGTGATTTAAGGATTAGCTCATTTTTAAACATTTTGGGGAACTGGTGCTTCAGAGTAGCAGAATCAAAAGTGGTGACTGATGAGTGCTGTGGAAGATCAGTGCTTGATTAAAGAATGTGACTAGATGAAAAGTAATGCTGTTTAGGGATTATTCTTTTTAGTTACTCGTACACAGAAAATGAGACCACTGTTAGATTTATTTTCTCTGATGAGAGAAATACATAAAATGACCACTTTTTTGGCATATTGATGTTGCAAAATATGAATAGTTAACCATTAATGTAACACACCATCCCTTTTTGTAAGTTGAATGATGGATATACTTGATAAATACAAAGTCAGCACTAATGGTAATCTGTAGAAAAGCAAAGCATCCATTGTATTAAAATATTATCTTCAGTTGGCAATGTATGTCTAGTGAAACTCATAAATATTTTATGTAGTGTGAAAAAACTGAAAATAAAGGCATTATGGTATATACTTATACCCTATTTTATCTAACAATGCCTGTATTTAAATAAATTTTTTTTAGTTTGCCACTTTATTTTAATTTATTGCTTATTTATAAAGCTAATTTTGTATGCCATAAGCCAAGTACCCCTCAGTCCTTAATGTCTTTTTAAAGAAAGAAGTCATGTTTTATGTTTCAATTGAACGCTTATCAGGGCATGTTAAGTTTAACAAATGCTTACTTAAGAAACTTACATATGATGTTTTAACATGATCTTTCTGAACTTAGTTTTAATTTTTAAAATGAGTTAATACCTGCTATGTTTATTGTAGTATTTAAATCATTTATAAAACAAAAAGTATAAATAAAGCTAACGGGATAAAAGAATAAAACACGTGAATTTAAAAACAAAGTAAATGGTTAAAGCTTATTATCTTTGTTTTATTAATGCTCTGCTTTGTTCAAAAACTGTTTTAAAAAAAACATTATTCATAGAAAGATGAGACCACTGAGAGTCTGTCCAAGATCTCACACTGTTATAAATAGAAAATTCAGTCCTGAGTGTTTTAGTAGTCAAAACATGAAAAGAACCAGTTATAGCAGCTTTCCCCAAAGTATGTTCCCCAAAAAACGAGGTCTTGTAAGTTTACCATGGTCACGTAAATTTACAGACAAGTGATATTGTACCCACCTTGGAGAGAGAATTATATTCATACCATCATGTCAAAGATTCTTGGAAGTTCCTTTGGGTAAAAACCACAACCATAATTTGTGTTTTCCAAGCACATTTGGCCACCCACCCCAGACTTTTTCATCTGATACCTGTCAGCATTTCACATTCTGTGATGTATGTGGATCTGTGAGATATTGTTCTTTAGTTAAGAACAATCTATTTGTTTAAGCGCAGCCCAGCAGGGTGAGGTCTGAGAGGTTTCACCTTTGGATCTCAGAAGGGACAGTATATATGTAGTGCAGTGGGCCTCATCCTCAATAAATAGTCACAATATATACAATCATGCATTTCAGATGGCTGTTTTCATATGGTTTCACCTTAGTATGAACTGACAGCATAATCAAGTCACTAAAAAGTTCAGTTTTAAATTGCTTATAAATTGTCTCAAAAATTTAAAGACTTCAGTTTTTAACATTCTAGATCATGGATTGTATTCTCTGTTGCCGGTGAAAATTTTTACCATCTTTGTTTGACTATTTATATTTTGTCTTGTTCTAAAAAGGAATTGAAGGGCAAAAACTAGAGACGAACAGAAAATACCTAGCAGAATGTTTAATTGGCTATTGTGTTAGTTGTGGTAGTGTGCCTGCTGACATTATAGACAAGCTGTGAAGCACATCTACAGGTAACAAAATATCCGTGGCTCTTCAGAAACGGTTGTGGCAGAGGGATTGCGAGGGTATTGTTTTTGAGTAAAAGAGTAGGGAAGAGCATAGGTCTAAATGACAGAATCACAAACAGAAGGAAGCGCTGCAGAAAGCAGCTCTAGCAGCTAACAAAGGAAAGTTCATACTGTGGAAAGAGAACACATAATAACAGATCAATTTCTTTCCAGCTTTGCCTGCTCATATATAGCGATCATTTTAGTAAGGTCATCTTTACATTTGAACAGCAGATTTTCCAAAGCATCTTCCCCACCCTTAATCTAGGATTAATTTAGGGTTGTGTGTGTGTGTGTGTGTGTGTGTGTATGTGTGTGTGTGGCAGGTCGGGGAGGGGGCGGTTAATGATTGAACTGGATGTTTTATGTACAATATAAAGGAACAAGTTTTTCAACACAACCTAATATTATGGTTGGTTTTCAGGAGTGGTGAATATAGAATTAATTTTGGTTTAAGTTATTGAGAATAGGATCCATTCTATTCTGATTTTAGTTTAAATATAATTAAGGTTTATTGTTCTTTTCAGGCAAGGGTACAGCACTGCGTCTGCTCTGTAGCCAGTGACCACTCAGTAGGACTCCTCAGTTTGCGAGAGAAAAAATGCATTATGCTGGCATCTCGTCATCTTTTCCCAATTCAAGTGATCAAGTGGAGGCCTTCTGATGATTACCTAGTAGTGGGCTGTGCAGATGGCTCTGTGTACGTCTGGCAAATGGATACTGGTAAGAACAAGTGTTGAAATAGACTAAAAAATCAAATGGGTACGTTTCATTTCCTAGAAATTAAAAATTTTTTATTTGAGGAAAAAATCCGAGATATAATAAGGTTGCTACTTTTATTTTTGATCACTGCTTTTTCTAAGTGTTCTCATTATCACCAAAGAAAAGCTTAAATGTCCCTTTGTCACGTTATGCTAAATACTTGTAGTTGGCCAATCTTCAAAGGAATGTAATTAAAGAAAATATACATATTAGTACAGACATACAGATAACAGACCAAAAAATCAGTGATTCCTTTACAATTCATGAGGTAAATGTAAGCAAGATGAAGAAAACATTTTTGTCTCAAATTCAGAAACAGCGTGAAAAGATAAAATCCTCTTATTTTAACAGCAAAAAAGTGGTATGGGGCTGTTAATTGTAGGAGGTGATTAAAACGAAAGTTTTAAGTTTTAGAGAGAACACTTAAAATTTCAAGTTTCAGAAATTTTATGTATAGGACATAATATAGAACAAATAATGCTTAGCTTAAAGTATAGGCAGTGATTTGTAATGTTAAACACAGAATCTAACAGTTTTCCCTGGGAAATCTTGGAACTATGTACCTACCTAAATGTTTTTATTAATTTAGGCCTTTAAAAACATATTTTATTCGACTTTTCCTATCTTAAGTAATTATGTACCAATGATTAAAACCTTTCTTTACATTAAAAAAAAACTTGTATTATAATATTTCTACTAAATGTTTTTCCCTTTCTTCATTTAAAAATTTTTTCTGTTTGTTTTAAATAGTCCTTTTTGAAATCAGACTATCTACATATTTCTGCCTACACTGTGGTGCAGTAAGAGTTCTAAGTTTGTATGGAATAAGTAGCCATGCTCTTCAGCAATCTTTTCTTTTAGAGTCCTTGTTTTAACTGGTAGTACAGAGGTAGTCTTGTTTGACAAGGTGAAGCATTCTTGGAGAATATCAGACTTCTTTGCTTTTACATTTATTTTTTTTCTTTTTCTTGTCTGATTATATAAGAGATTCATACCTTTTGTCAGGTTGTAAAAGCACAAAAGTATTAGAAAAGATGACCCCAAACTGCATTGCTCAGTGGTACATGTCAACATTTTGGCATATTTCGACCTACTTTTATTTCTGTGCACTTTTAAAACCAGAATTGCTGTCATACTACCTATGCATGTTTATGTACATAAAGATCTTACTTTGTGTCCTTTTTATTATATACTATCTGCTGCACAGCACAATTTTGTGTTTGTTGGTTTGGGTCACCTCACAAACTAACTATACAGAGTTTATTTTATCTTGTGTTCTGGAGTCAAAACACTTGGTCTGAATTTCGATTGACCTCTGTAATCTACAGCAAGTCACTGGACTTTTGTCCCTCGATTTTATCTGTAAAATGAAGATAGTAATAATTCCCATTTTATAATGTTGCTGGAAGAATAAAATGAGATAACCGTTTACCTGGTGTGTAGTAGGCATATAATGTAAGTGTGTATATGTGTATGTTTGTGTACCTGTAAGTTTCTGTGTGTGTGTACATGCCTTTGTATTTATTAAAGAAACAAGCTGCTTAACTTGTTACTTTGTCGAACTTGGGATTATGACCTTATATATATTTGGAAATATTTTCTTTTGGAATTAGTACTAAAGAAAGTTCTTATAGCAATAATAACATTCATAAAACACTATTTTAAAATACTATAATAAACAGTTGTCAGTCTTTAATATAAAGGTATGATAAACTTGTCTAGGACTTCTAAAAATGAAATAAGTATGGTAAAGGAAGACAGTATAATTTTTCTGCATTTTTTTAGATATGTACTTAAATAATGATACTTGAATATATCAGGTACTTTAAATTTTATATTCTTTACAAATGAGACCTTGCTGAAAGAAAAGTTACTTTTTCAGTAATTTCTCTGGAAGGAAATGACAAATAGCCCCTAACTGTAGGTATACTGGAGGCTGTTATTCTGACAACTAATTCAGTATAATTAAGCCCATTTTAGGTTAAACAATATATAATATTGAAAATTTAGAATTTGGACCTTCAGGAGGATTTCTGGTACATAGTCAATCCATATGACAATCTTAAATTGAAATAAGAATAGAGAAGCAGACTTTATTTTGGATTTCAGCCACAATGGCAATTATTCATTCTTTTTTCCTTCTTGCTATTCAGGCCTTAGCTAGTGATATAAAGGTCACTGGGGAGTCAGTAAGGCACATCCTGAAGGTATTGACGTCATTTATTTATTAAATTTATTTATTTATTAAATAAGTAAAAAATGAAGCTAAATAAATCAGGTTCAGCCAAGGTTTGATGTATAAAATATATTTGAACTCTGAGGAGATACTTTATCCCTCTGTAGTGTTTTGGGAATGTGTTTTTACAAATGAAGCCATATTACACTAAAGCTACTCATGCATATTGTATAATATTCTATTTGCTGTTGAACTGTACTCGCTTTTCTCAAATGGATAGTTTTATCTTCAATATTTGCTAATGAAATGAGTTTGAAGCTTGTAATATAAAATTTGATTAGTGAGATAGAGGTCCAGAATCTTTTCTTTTATTGTGTCATCTTTATTATATGCAATAGCAATTAATAGTGATATAGAAGCCATGGAAATTATTCTTCTTTCACATTTCTGGATACTTAGAAAATTAGTCAAACAACTAACAGCAAGATGTGGCTAGGTGAAACTCTTGACTCTCACTTAGGAACTTAGCTGAAGGTAGGCCACTGACCTAGTGGTGACTGCTGCTACTTGGAGCTGTTTATATGCTTCATGATCAGCACTCTCATTCTTCACATTTGATGTTCCCAGTAAGCGTGCATTATCTTTCCCACAGGCCTTTGACAATGTCAAAATCCTGTCTATTTGAGAAACAGTAGTATGCTTTAAGTATTGACTGATGTTGCAAGGTGTTCTTTTTAGCTAACCATTATGAAGCCTCACTAGCATTCTCATCTGCCCATCTGTACAAATGCAGACACCAAGAGTGCTTGCCAGAGATTATTAAAAATTATGAAGTGTATGAAGTCTTGTCAGTTTATTTAGTCAGTTTTCTGCTGTCTTTTTAAAATTTATTCTCTGCCCCTCCAGGTTTTTGAAAATATTTCTGTTTTTGCATTTACTTCATGAATATGTGTTTGTTCATTTTTTAAACTTTATTATCTAATAACATATAGCAGAGAATCATGCATTAATGTATATTTTTGTCTATTGAAAAATGTATGTAAAGCATGGATAACCAAAAACATAAAAAAAGGGTACTTTTCTAAAATCCTGGTAAAACCAAGGATAATCAGTTTTTTACCCTTCGGATGATTCGCTATGGAAATTTGAAGGTTGTTAGAGTGGAAATATGACTGTGTTTACTACCTTCACCACGAACCCTTTGTGTAATTAATTCTAGTCAAGAATAATTGGGTCACTTCCTACCACTTCTGGTCTTTTGTATCATCTGTATGGTTGCTCATGGCTTTTATTCATTTGGAACATTATTTTTTTTAATTTGCATATTTGTTTAAACAGTCTATCTATTAAGGAAATTTGAATAAAATAAAAACAAAATATTACATATTTACCCATGTAGTTACCATTTCTGTTGCTCTTCATTGTTTTGTGTAGAACCAGATTTTCATCTGGAATGATTTTCTGTTGTCGAATATTTAATATTTTTTTTATAGTGCAGGTCTATGAGTGATGAATTCTGAATTCTTTAAGCTTCTAGATGTTCGAAAAACTATTTCACTTTAATTTTTAAGTTTTTTTCTCTGGGTATATAATTCTAGGTTGACTTTTTTTTTTTTTAATATTCTATGGTCTTCTTTTTGCCTTATTTCCAGTGAGAAATTTGCTGTCACCCTTATCTTTAGTTTTTTCTATGTGCTATGTCCATTTTTATCTATTTCAAAACTTTTCTCTTTATTATTGGTTTTGAGCAATTTGATTATAGTTTTGTGTTTCTTGTGCTTAGGGTTTGTTGTACTTCTTGGATCTGTGTATATCTACTTTTCAACAAATTTGTAAATTGTTGGCCATTATTTATTCAAATATGTTTTCAATCTTTCTTCCTCTTTCCTCTCTCTGGAAACTTCACTTATATGTTCATTAGGCTACTTGAAATTACCCACAGCTCAGGGATTGTCTTTTCATTTTAAAATTATTTTTCTTTGTGTTTTATTTTATGTAGTTTCTATTCAGTGTCTTACTTGGAGGAGGTCTTTTAGGCCTTCAGCTGATTGGTTGAGGCCCATCCACAGTATGGAGGGTAATTTGCTTTACTCAAAGTTCACCAATTTAAATACAATCTAATCTAAAACACCTTCACAGAAACATTCAGAATAATTTTTGACCAAATATTTAGGCAATGTGGCCCAGTTAAGTTGACACATAAAATTAAGCTTCATTTTGTTGTTGTTGTTTTCATAACAACTTCATAGTATTCCTTTTAGAGAACATATCATAATTTATTGAACCTGTCTACTAATGATATATATTTACTTTTTTCAAGTTTAAAAATTTACAGGTAAGATAATCAGCAAATATGTGTATGTGCATATATTTATATTTTCACACATACACAGACATAGAAGCATATACTCACTGATACATATAGTTATTGATAGTATATATATAAATTTATATTTGTATATGGCATGTTTAATATAAATCTTAGGATTCCTATGTTAAAGAAAATGCGAATTTTAAATTGAATGGAATTTGTCAAGAAAATTGCTGCTAATTTTTACTCATACCAAAAGTATTTTATCATTTTCCTCATACCCTTAAGAATGCTGAGTATCTGTCACAGTAAGACCTAAATGATATTTTATCGTTGCTTCCATTTGGATTTCTTTATTAGTGAGGTTGATGTCTTTTCATATGATTACTACCCATTTGTATTTTTCTTAATTGTTCATATCCTTTGAACATTATCTGTTGGCTATTTTTCCTTATACATTTGTCAGAACTTTGTATTTTAACGCTGTTAACTCTGTCTCCATTTAATCCACAGATAGTTATTGAATGCCAGGGATACAGCAGGGAATGAAACACCTAAAATTTTCTAGCTCTTATGTAGTTTACATTCTGGGTGGGGAATGGCAGGTCAAAAACAGCAAACAAAAACTTTAAATATATGTATTATATTCATTTGTGATTAGTGCTATGGGGAAAATAAAGCAGAAAGGGTGATAATGAATGGTTTGGGGGCGGAAATGTTGAAATCTTTGATAAGATAGCTAGAGAGCAACTCATGGAGAAGGTAACATTAGGATAAAGGAATGAATGGAGATGTTGAAGGAAGTGATGAAATCCACGTTATCCAGGAGGATGACTTTCTGGACAGAATGAACACTAGATGTGAAGGACTAAAGGTGGCAGTATACAATTCATGTTTGAGGTCACCAGTAAGGTTAGTGTGGCTGGAGTGGAGTAATCTAGGGGAGAGTGATAGAATATAAAGTGAAAAACATAATTGGGGACCAGATCGTGGAAGGTCTTATAAGCCTTTGGCTTTTACTCTGAATGATATAGAAAACCATTGAAGAGCTTTAAGTTTTAATAAGGTTGCTCTGGCTGCTGGTTTGAGTATAGCCTGAAGGTGGTTCAAGGGTGGAGATTAGCTTGTACGCTATTTCCTCTAGGCAACAAAAGATGGTGGATATTAGAACAGAGTAGTTGCAATGGAGCTGGTGAGAAGTGGTTGAATTCTGGGTATATTTTGAAGGTAGAGCCAAAAGGATTTGCTGATAGTTGGATGAGGGGCATAAGAGAATGAGATAAGTCAAAGATGAATCCCAAGGTTTTAATCATGAACAAGTCAAAGGATAGAATTCATTCTGAGAGACTGATAAAATGATAGCAAGAGTAGGTTTGGGGGAAATCAAGAATTTAATTTTTGATATTGTTGAATATTAGACGTTCAAGTAGAGATGTTGATCAGTAAATTGTATATATAAGTCAGGAGTTCCAGGTGAGGTGTCAGAGTGAGTGATGTAAATGTGAGAATTCTTAGCATTTAGAAGATATTTAAGACCATGACTTGGATGCGTCACGAAGGGAACGTAGATAGGTAATGAATGATTGGGGCACTCCAGGGTTTAGATGTATTTCTGTGACGTAGAGAAACAAGCCAAGGAGACTGAGATGGAACTTCCAGGGAAAATAAGAAAATGAAGAGTGTGGTTGCCTGGAAGCCAAGTGAAAAAAGTGTTTCAAGGAGTAGAGAGGAAATCCAAGTGCTGCTGATAGTAAATGATAGTAAAATGAGGACAGAGAACTATTAGATTTAACAGCATGGGGACAGTAGGTTCTCTGCATGTTTGGGGATGATATCTGATTTGAATAAATTCAAAGGAAAATGGGAGAGCAGATATAGACAACTCTTTGGGGAATATGTATGAAAAAGGAGATACCAGTGAGAGAGAGATTATGTCAACTGTGTTGTGTCTTTTTAACAGGTGAAATAATTGCATGTTTATATGCTGATGGGAATGATCTAGTAGGTAGGGAAAATTAATGAAGAGAAAGGGGAGAATTGCTGAAACGATGCCCTTGTGTAGACAAGAGAGGGATGGGATTTAAGCTACTAGTGTGTTAGGAGCCTGTATAGTTTATTCATAATTATAGGGAAATGTGAGTGGGAATATGGTAATGGGAGCTTGTGGAACTTCTTTTCTAATTGCTTCTTTCTAAATGAAATAGGAAACAAAAATTTTTACCTAGATAAGGGTAAGAAATAGAGTATTGGAGATTGGTGGAAAGAAAAGATATGGAATAATTAACTAGGAGAATAGGAATATGAAAGGTCTGTGGAAATGTGGCCACTACTAAGGGCCCTCTTGAGATCAATGGTCATGAATTTCAAGTGGCTCTGTCAACATGTTTGTCTTTCATGTCTGTCTTCATTGTACAGGTTCAGAGTAGGTGGAAAGTTGGATTCAACCAGGATTGGAGTTTGCTTGGCTAGTATACAGAAGTGAAGTGAAGACAAAGCTGTGATTACGAGAATGGACAATGGAATTTTAATTTAGTAGGTAGGGACATGAGGATATGGGCTAAGTGAGGGACAGTGTAAGGGTGACAGGTTAATGAATTGTTGAAGTCAGTGGTGAAAAAATGAATTATTAGAATAGGAACAAGAGAAATGAAGAATGAGAGTTGATGTCAGAGAGTGGAATATTTGAAATTGGGGTCATGTTGGGATTTCAGTTATCGATACTGAGAAGATTAGATTGTGACCATTGGCTGTAGTTAAGCGAAGGACTTAGCTTATTGGAGTAGAGGGGCTCAAAGAACCAAGAGATCAAAATACATGGGAGAATCATATGTGCCAATGATTTTCAAACCTTTCGAACTTTTAAATCCCATTAGAGTATGTACAATCTTCTTTTCATACATACACAAGAAGTTTCGGGTAATAATTTTTTCTTTTTCTTTGCTTTCTAAAATATGTTGGTCAACACTTAATGAATTGATTAGTGAAACACTGATTTATGTTAATACTGAAATTGCCAAGAATTTTTCCAGGAGTACTGTTGGAAAGAGGACAGTGAGTCAGAAGTTAAAGTCTCTAAGGAGGCAATGCATATAACCATCGGGAAGAAAATATGTGTTTGGATGTTTGGGCACAACCTTTGTTGCCATTTAAGTTTCTGATGTTCTCTATGGTTATTTTTCAAAATTGACTTGTCCTCTTTTAGAACGACTCTGGAAGAATTCCTGGTGAATCAAAATAAACTCCTTTATCATTTTATTGTCATTATTCCAATCTTCAAAAAGTTATATACAGATCTTCACAATGAGACCCTTCTCTGCCTGATGTCGTCATAGGTACTGTACAAATCAAAGTGTACAGAAAGGCTTTTGTTCTACAGGAAGCAGTTTGCACCCTGAGACAAGAAATGCATAGATGGCCAAATGAAGAAGCTTCGAAGTAGCTCCAAGTTGAAGTAGTAGTTATTTTCACAAACACACGGGAAAACATTTGATTTTGTGTTAAGAATAAGAGTCAATAAATTTGGAGATAGAATGAGAAATTACTTTTTTTTTCTGTTTTGTGGACGTTTCCTAGAGAAAGAAAGGCTTCAGAAATTAGATAGAAAGAACTGGAAAAATAGCAAAAATTAGTTGTTGGGTTTTTTTTGCTTAAGATTGATACACGATTTAGAGGACTTAAAAGAATAGAAATTGATATTTGTAATGGAGTAGTGGTGTGGAGTGATCAAGGAGACAATCTTGGAAGTAGAAAGTGGAGAAGCCTCAAGGGTAAGTCATTAAAATCTTGGCTCTTTGTTGGAAGTTGTGGTAGGAGCCTTATGAGAGAGGAAATGATTAAAGTAATGGTACATGGAAGATTATTAGAGGAAGTACGAGAAACTGTGTTAAAACATTTCTACATTAAAAAAATGTCCCTGTATTTTCTTTTTTTAAAAAACGATTTGAAATTTTATAGTGCATGTGATATTTGTGAATATATGTCTTCCAGGTGCATTGGATCGTTGTGTGATGGGAATAACAGCAGTAGAGATACTAAATGCTTGTGATGAAGCAGTTCCTGCCGCAGTGGATTCACTTAGTCATCCAGCAGTCAATCTAAAACAAGCTATGACAAGACGTAGTCTTGCTGCTCTTAAAAATATGGCCCATCATAAGCTACAGACCCTTGCAACTAACCTCTTGGCTTCTGAGGCATCTGACAAAGTAAGTTGTGTATATAATCTCATGTGTGTTGTCTTCATTTTACTTTATTCGATAATACAGCTTTGGCATGTCTTAGGGAATATTTTTGGGAGAAGAAACTGGTGAAAAATAAGCTTCTGATTTTTATTTAGGTTTAGCCAACATAGTTTTAGAGCAATTTCAAGTATTTGGCATTTCGAAAAAGTAAATTATTATTAGCATTAAAAATATTTGGAAATGATTCCTACTGAATAAGTGACTTCAGTTTCTGAAATTAGAGGAAATGTTTTTTATGTAGTCTGTCTTTCTGACTTTCTGACAGTCTCCTATTGAAAAATTGAGCATTAGCTAATATCTCCAGGAGAAAATATAATAATTTAGGTATACAATTAAGATGTTTGTAATTGTGGCTTATCAGTTGTTTTAAAAGCAGGTTCTGATTTTAGTAAAGTAAGGCCTTTATAAGGATCGAAGAAAATATTTGAGACTGTATCCTGGAGTTGCATAAGTGCTGGCATTTTTCTTTGAGACCCAAGTTCAGTCACACATTCCTTACTGGCACTTAAAATCAAGGCAGGAGTTAATTCTTCAGTTAACAGAAGAGTATCCTACTAAAAGAAGAACAAATAATTTTAATTCATTAATTGCTTACTTGTCTTTAGTTTTGTAGGTTCTAGCCACTATTTGGTTTGTGGTATTTGTGTTCATGGTATTATTAGAATTAGTTTGACTCCGGTAATGGATAAATGAAACAGAGAGACAATCCCAATGGTTCATCTGAGTCACTAGTTAAAATTTCTAGTTCCATCTAAGTATTCATTAAAATTGTTAATAGCTAACATAAATACTTTTATTTTTATTCTCTCTTATCTCTGATTCCTATTTTTAAAATGGTTTAACATATGAATAAATAGTGAAGAGATTGAAATGCTCATCTACAAACATGAAAACCTGCCCATGAATTAGCGAGTGCTGATGACATAAGAAATACTATAAGCAGCTCCAATGACCCATGCCCTGCAGTAATTGGCAGTAATATTTGAGCATTCTGTTTTTTCCGAAGATATAAATGTTTTATTGGCTTTGTTATACTGTATGTTTCATAGATTAGAATTGTGAAATCCTTCTGTGCTTTTTTCATGCTTTCAGTCTCATGCTGTAAAGTTTGAATAGAAATCACAGCCTAAATGCATTTGCCATAACTGTGCAGTTCAAGATCACGTATACGTCCTTAGGAATTCAGTGTTCATAGCACACGTTATCTGACTTTTTATGTAATTTTAATTTTGAGCAGATCTATAAAACCATATGTTCAAGGGCAAGCATGTATATTATGTAATTTCCAAAAATATTCTTTCATTGTTATTGTCGGTATCCTCTAGAAATAAAAATTTGGAAAAATAATTATTTAACTGGAAAATAAGAAAAATAAGTGGTATGCTAACATTTATGAATGGCTTTTGTAAGTGGTCATGGTCCATTATGCGATTTTTATAATCTTGTTTGTCCCTGTTTTAATAGCACATTTTATAGTGCAATTAGTGATAAAAGCACCAGATATCAGAGACACTACACTTATGTATTGTAAAATATATTGCTCGTGAACCTCCTCAGGCTTGTAGCAGTGGTAATTGTTGCCTGGCCTACAAGGAAAACAATTACAGAAGGGGGGAAAGGCTGAGGAAGCTGAGGCTGCAGGAGGATAATCACTTTATGAAAAATGTATGTTGGCCGCACCATTAGGGATTTCTCTATTTTCTCACGTTGAATGTGAGGCTCCTTCTGAGGGGAATTTTGAAAGAGCTGTCCTCTAGATGGTTTTCTAACCTTAGGAGAAATAAAACCCACCCAAAGTTAAAAATAATAATAATGATAATGAGAACCTCTCAGTGCAGGGCTTACTCTAGGATATTGGAACTAATTTTTTTCATGGGTCTCAATAGAAAGTAAAGTCTCTATGGGAATACTCTGCAGCAGTATTGTGCTTTGTCCTTTTGAGATAGTGTTAGCAATTAGGCTATTTAGAAGTAACAGCTATTTTATAGTGCTAATTATGTTTTTTTATGCCATACACAGCTTTCCAAACAAAGATGGGGGATTTGCTGTCCTATAATGTTTTTTCTTTCACTAGAGGATCAAGAGGATATTAAGTAGAATTATCCTTTATTACTGCATTGAATCTTTACAAGAAGTGCGAATTCGAGCCCCTGTGTATTTCTCTTAGGACGTGTGTTTTATTTTCCCTTTTATTCTAATAACTTATGTACTTACCTAATTCTCCCCACTGAAATTTAGTCTTCTTGCAGGCAGGGATTATGGCTTATTTATCTCCGTGTTTTCCCCATGACATCCAGTAGCAGCTGTGTCATAAATATGCGTTGAATTGGGTGACGCATAACAAAGTGTTGCTAGCTTCTGCCTCAGCCTCTTTACCCGTCTCTTCTCCAGTCCCTCACAGGTGATTATCTTGACTCGACAATCGGATTTGTCCCAGTTCATGAGTATGAGACGTAGAGCATGTATTAATAACTTTTGCCCCCTCTGTTCGGTTTTGCTTTCTCTTCTTTTGTTCTGGTGAGCAAGGTTGTCCAGGCATAACTCCTTCTCTTTCTTCGCCATCTCTGTCTTGTCAGCGTTCCAACACATCCTGGAGTTACCTCAAATATATCCTCTCTTTTACTCCTGTTCCTCGTGGTTCTGGACCAGGGTTGTTCAATCTCAGCACTCTGTTGGCATTTGGGGCTGGACAGTTCTTTGTTGTGGGGAGCTGTCCTGTGTATTGTAGAATGCTGAGAAGCATTTTCCCTCTACATGCTAGTAGCACCCTTCCTCCCTAATTGCGACAGTCAAAAATGTTTTCAGACATTGCCAAATGCACCCCCATCTTGGAAGGAGGTGCAAAATTGCCTCTGGTTTAAAACCACTGCTTTGGAGAAAAAAGGTGGAGAAACGGTAGAGATCTTATGTCTTACATCCTATTTTTCTTCCTCTCCACGCATGCTTCTTCAATCCCTCTCTTCTCTGAGGATAGTGAAGCCTTATCCTCTCTGTCCTTTGAGGCATAATTAGCTCTTGCATTCTTTTTGTGTTTATACCTTCACGTTCAGAGCTTTCCTAAAACATTTCTCTTAGTATGGGGTATTTCTTTCTTCCTTACTGGATTTTGAGCTTTTTGAGGACAGAATGTGAGTTTCTCATCTTTTTATTTCCAGTGTTTAATGTCGTATGTAAAGCATAGTAAGTACCCAAGAAATTTAGTGTGAAGTTAATTTGGAGGTGTAGGTTGGAATTATATCATGTGATCCACTTGAATGCAAAGTCGAGGACTTAACTCAGTGGGTAGCAACACAACATTCAATACTCTTAAAAGGAGGTTTTTGTTTAAGAACTGTTTTGCCAGGTCTGACATTTGTGTGCAGGATGCTTATAAAAATTTATGTGAGAAATGAATTGCGAGTCTACTGGGATGATATAGTGAGAAGTAATGGGGACAAGAATAGGATTCAGCAGTGGAAAAACAGACAAGGGGATGGCTTGTAAGCTGTTGTGTAGGTTGAATAAATAAGACTTCACAAATGAGCTAGAGTAGAGTGGAGACATATGAGATGAGTTCTGAGATCCAAGCCTCGTTGAAGGGAAAATGGTAGAGCCATTGAGAGCAATGAGCAGCTCCTGGAATAGGCTTTGCAGCTGATAGTAACAGGAGACGTGTGCCTCTTCTCTGTGGTGCTGGGGGTGGGGTGTGTGCCTCCAAGAAAGAAGTAACGTGATGGTGAGATAGAGTAGGGATGGGATTTTTCTCCCCATTAAATAAATGCTGGAGTACAGAGCTCGAATTGGACTGCGGTTCACATTCTGGGATGCCAGCTATCATTAGATTATTCCAGATATGCAGTCTTCCGTAATTCTCACTGCAAATAAATGAGTTCGTTATTATCGTCCTCAGATTTGCAAATGATGAACCTAAAAGACAGTTGGTTAGAGTAGGGATTAGCAAACTTTTTCTGTAAAAGGCCAGATAGTGAAAGTGTAGGGATCGTGGACTATACAGCCTGTGTCACAGTGATTCAACTCTGCCATTACAGTGTGAAAGCATAGACAATATGTAAACGGATGTGTGTGACTGGCTTCCAATAAAACTTTATTTACAAAAATAAAGTTTGGGCTGGATTTGGCTCCTGGGTCATGGTTTGCTGACCCCTGCATCAGAAGAAGGCATTATTAATATCAAGGTTGTGGGTACAGTTCCCCCAGGGAATAGCCTGTGCTTCATTTTTACAATGCAGTGCAAAGGAGTGGTTAAGAGCCCAAGTTCTCATGAAAGGCATATCTGTGCACATCTCTGTAACTTGCTGCCTGTGGGTGACATTGGCAAGTAACTTCCATTGGCCTAGATCACATACATATAATTGAAAATAAATCTTTGTAAAGGAAGCAAAAGCCAACAGTTAATCGGAGAAGTGAAATAACATTAAGACTTGAGGAAGACAGAAGAGTGTTTGGAGTTAGTAACTGAGAAAGTCATTGGTGATCATTAAGAGAGCTGCTTTGGTTGAGTTAGTTGGGTCAGAACTCAGGGTGTGATGAGCTAGGAATAAGTAAGGGATGAAGTAGAGGTAGAGAGTATGGAAGAAGTTTGCCACAGACATTGGTTCTTAGTAAGGAGATCTTAGGGGATGACTTGGGCCAATGGGGTTCAATGGAGTTTTACTAGTGAAGCTATGAAGCTCTTACTGCCATGACGTTAATTTCTTAGGCCAAGTGTGAGTAATTTTCTATTCGGCACCTTTACATCTTGGGCATTGTTGCAGCAATCAGAGTCACCCTATTTATATTGAAAAATCACCAGGTTGAAGCAATTGAAAATGACCAGGATGATTTATCTTTTACCTTACATTTCTCTTTCTGTTGCCTAATTAGTCAAAACCTGAAAATATGAATGGGCTGTATTCGCAAAGGTCAGTAGCTTTGTATTCTGTGTAACTAGGTGAGAAAAAGGAATTTAGAAGTCAAACATAACC